AAGCTTATGTCTGAGCAAGAAACTCTCTGTTTTGTATAAGTTCTTTCTGAATTTGTCGTAAGAACCGATTGGAAATATTCCAAGTTGGTAATGTGTTCAAGCATAATCTTCTAGTGTTTTAGCCCGTTAACTTTCACTGCTGGATATGAGTCTCGTTCAATAAGGGAAATCCCAGGCGTTTTTTTATAAAGAAAAAGAATATTAACAATGCTATAAACATTACTAATATTCCCCCCCTTAACCACTCGTGGTAAGCTTAAATTGCTTGTGTTACGAGTGGTTCACGCCAGAAGTCGAATAGCGGATTCAAACCCACGACCTTTTTTGAGTTCGCGGTCCGCGCCCTGCCATTAGGCTACTGTCGCTTCGTTTGTGTGGTTATTTCCCACTCTCTTACCCAGTTCTGTACACACTCCTACGTTCCGATCTGAACTCTATGTAGACATTACAATAACAGGCTGTGAGACATTCCATCTTAGATATCTGAGATGACGACGTATCTGTGGCCGTATTTATATGAAGTTGGTTTCAGGTGTACATGGGCTACAGTAACCATTTTGCATACGAATGGGTCAGTTTACCTTGAAATAGCAGTTTAATGCTGCTGTGTTTCGTATTTTATTTTACAGGGAAAAAGGCGTTTTACTTGTTTCCCAAGGGTGACAAAGCATTTTGATTAATCCAGGATAGGTATATACGTCCATGGGCCACAATATTCAATTACCATCAGGTAGACTGTCTTTTCGTTTGCCGTCCTTTTTCTCATTTTGTAGTTTTACTCAGAAATTGGATAGAGCTGTTGCGAAGTACTTAGTAAAGATGGACACGAACTTATGCATGTATTGACTGTGCAGTGGTGGCTTAAGAGAATCCGTATCATCCCATGGGTGTCGTAAGAAGCAACAAAGGGAATTGAAACAGGGTATGGGCAGCAGCATCTTCCTAATATAACAACTCAATAAAAAGTCCAGTTGTAATCCCGCCTGTCTCTAAGGCAAATATGTCCCTTAGGAGGTAATCTATGGATAAGGCCGATGTTCAATGGTGGACTTTTGATAGGCCATAATGAATGTATGAATAAATGGAAGAATTGAAGGTGCGCTGCCGGCCCCTTAGAAAGTAGTAAGCTCTTGTCTTGAAGGTCCCTAGGTCGTATCAGTCCGGAAAAATCGCCAGTGGAAACTAATTTCGCAGAGGGGTCGTACGCGGAAGAAAACTCCTTCTGAAAAATATGAATCCACATGAAATTGGATTTCATAAAAGAAAAACACGATAAAATGTAATTTTATCAATAGAAAAATTTGCATAGTTGGGTCTAATTAATTCCATTTCTCCATGACACAACAATATTTTACGAATAGGTTCATGCAATTATTTTTAAGGTTCAGTAAATAATCGTATCTTAGTTCCCACAAACCATTTTTAAACCTTAAAAGTTATATTAAAAAAATATTGTTTGACGTTTTCTTATTCTTTTCCGAGTGCGTGCTCTGTATTATAGCTATATCATAATTTGCGTATTATGAAGTCATTTCATCACTTTCATTTTGACACTCCCTCAGTCGTCCGTGAGCTACATCGACAAAGGGATAAGCCACGCCCCCAAAACTACGATTCATTTTTAAGGTATCCTATTAAGCTGCTATTTTACGTCGTTGCTCTGTGAGAGCGTGAACTTACCCCGGTCGAGGCGACTCGTTCGAGCTATTATAGCTCGTTATATCAGTTGCGTTGCCAGCCTTTTAAAAAGGAGTATTTACTTTAAGGTCCCTTAGTCGTATCGGTTCAGAAAAATCTCTGGTGGTAGTCGATTCCACAACAAAGTTGTGCGAGGAAGAAAGCTTCTTTTGAATCGCAAAGCGGTGGATCGTTAGTCATTCAAAAATATATATATTTATAATAATATTTATTATTGTATAATAACTTAACAAAGTAAACGTGCAATAATAAAAGTATTTAAAATTTTAAAGTACGCAGTAAAATTAAAATGGTTGCAACGTTTATACCGCAAGCAATTAATCAAATCAAACACGTTCAACTTTCATGACCACTTTTTTATTTGTAGCAGAATTAAATAGAGATCCTGCATTGGTTTTGATAGAGCTTAGAACCGTATTAAATCGAAAACTGCGTTTTATAGATTTTAAATTTACTTTTTCATGACATCTATATGTATCATCCTCAGTTAAGAATCAAAATGCAGATGCTTTGTTACCCTTGAGGACTAAAATGGAAAGCCTCATTTGCAGTAATAAGGTAAGTTGCAGCGTCGCTTTGCCACGTAGATCATTTACATACTAACACATATAACCTAATCTATTACAAAACTGTTTATCGTATTGAGGGGAGAGTCCAAAGTTAATTAGTGTTTGTCGTCACACGACGGGCTCGTGTTAATATTGACAACGTTGTAATTGATAATAAATTAGTGCAAATGTGTTCTTAATTACGAAGGCGGCACTGAAAATTTCGGGAATCAAGGAAGTGACGCAACATTACTATTTAAAAATGTATTTATTGCTTTTTCGCGAAATTTGAGACATTTTTCCATACGATGGAACCAATCATTGAAGCAACCATTCCATTCGGAAGTTGGGGTTTCCAAAATGGCCGTTTTGTAGGCGTCCACAGCTTCTTCAGGTGATGAAAGTCTCTGTCCACGCAATTTATTCTTTATTTTAGGGAAAGTATAGAAATCATTAGGGCTTAGGTCAGAGCTGTACGGCGGATGGTCTAATAATTATAATAATTATATGTTTGATTGCTCTAAAAACTCTTTGTTCTGTGTACAGTGTGAGAACTCGCATTGTCGTGATGGAGGATGATGCGGCGGTTGCTATTTTCTTTACGGAGCTCGGAAACGACCTGTGGCAAACAGATACTAGCATACCATTGTGCATTAACCGTTCTTTGTCCCTCAATAGGAATAGTCGTAATATGGCCGGTTTTGGAGACAAACGTGGCACCATTTTTTTTGCAACACTCCGTGAACGAACAATTTTTGTTGGCTTTAACTCATTTTCGAACACCCAAACTCGTGACTGGTTTTTTGTTTCGAGTTCGTACGCATATATCCAGGATTTGTGACCTGATACGATTTTGTATACAGCATTTGAGGATCCTGCGTGGAATCTTTCGAGTGTTCTGTCGCACCAAGTAACGCGACCCGCTTTTTGCTCTTCACAGAGCGAATGCGGTATCCATCAAGAAAACAACTTTTTACACCTAATTGTTCATGCAATATTATTTTTATTTAAATCATACCAATGTCTAAAATTGCCTGAATTTCGCGGTATGTTACATGTCGATCTTCCTCAATCAGCTTACGCACAACATCAACGTTTTCTTGGGTGACTGCAGTTTTTGGACGACCTTGACGGGGATCATCACGGAGCTTGACACGTCCACGTTGAAATTTAGCAAATTAGCAATAAATTGTGGTTTTAGATGGAGCTTCATCACCAAATGCAGAAATCATCCGGTCAACTCACTGTTTTTGTGTTAAACTACATAGAAAGTCATAACAAATCATCGCTCTTGAATTTTCTCGAGTCAATTCCATTTTCTCAACGACTAAACAAGTTTGACAAAACCTTGTGCAAGACCGAGAATCTTTTTTTAAATAAATAAATGGTATTCGATTTTTAAAACCAAAAAGTTTTCAATTAAAAAGATTTTAATTTGACAGGAACAGTGGAAATATTCCATTCCCGATAGTTTTAGTGCAGCCTATTAGAATTAAAAAAACAGGACCCTTATAATATAATTAAAAAGCATGTGCTACTATTTGATTAGTCTATGCATCGTGTATTTTTTACATTAGGTACCTAAATTTGTATCTTTCATGTAAAGGGTAACGATGACAGTCCCATGACCAAATCTAAAAATACAGGTAAATACTAACTCGAATTAAATACTACATTTGCGTGTTCGGATGTAGGAGCTGCCTATAACCTAATTATATTACGCCACTCAACTTTCTCAAAAACAAAAAGATTATTCGGGATACTTGAACGAACCGTTCACGATTTAAAGACAAATTTTCACTCATGTTGAAGTGAATCGAGTTCGAGATTATCTTTAATCGAGTAATTACAGATAATGTCGAACTTTCTATCTCTCCTATGAAGTTGACAACTTCTTTTAAAGTCATATACACTATAAATCACACGTTAATTTTACAATATTATTGTTATTACTTTAATGCGGTAATATTGTTTTTGGAACTTTAAGAAAATGTTTTCTTTGATCCATCTCGCAGATCAAGTAGTATAAATGTTATTTCTTTGAATTATGACTTATTAGACAAAGATACATTGTCCTTACTTTTTATAGAATATATGGATCACGACAACCTTCCAACCCTTACTTGCGATTTCATACTACATTAAACAGTATAAGTCGTAGCTTAATAGCCTTTCAGTTAACACTCAAATTTTAACTAAGACAATATTGCACATACCTTGTAATATCAGCGACAGTAGGTTATGGTACGGTTTACGAGGCCCATGGGACACCTTAAAGCCGAGTACAGTGGAAACTCGATTAACCGGACTAATTGTTGCCGTTAGGGATTCGGATAATCGAAAATCCGGATAATCGAATGTATGAAGGAAAGCGGGTTTTGTGTATTTGTAGTACACATATACATAATGTCATGTGTTTATTGAAAACAACAATATCAACAAAAATCAATGTTTATTAAGAAATTATTAAGAGATACATTTTTCAATATACAACACTTTACTTATTTGTGTACATACATATTTTCTTAGATTACACACATACATACTAAAATACTGCAGCCTCAATTATCAAATAATATATATATATATATATATATATATATATATATATATACGTATGTACGTTTAATTTCGTTTAAAATATTTGGTAATAGTCATTTGACGTAAGCCAATTTTTCTCTTTATTGCTGCTATATCACGAATTTGTTTGAGCTGTAGTAAACTCACAGTATCACTCTCTGTTTGTTTTTCAAATCACTTGAGAGCCATTTCCAGGGCCTGAAGTGCTTCATCATGAGATGGTCCTGCATCATTTTCCATGTCTATATTTTCTTCTGTTTCATCTTCTTGCATTTCCTGCTGTTCATTTATCTGCAATATGTTTTCTACGATTTCGTCATCCGACATAATCTGAAAGCCTTGATCATTACTGTTACAAGTGATCCGCTCTTTCATATCATCTTCATCACAATCCTGGCATATTTGTATCTTTAACATTAGCTCATTTATATCCTCCAAAATAGGATCATGCGTCATTATCATCATCATTACAGCCCTTCACAAGTCCACTGCTGAACATAGGCCTCCCCCCAAGTAATGCCACAAAGCACGGTCCTGAGCCACTTGCAACCATCGACTTCCTGTATGTCTTACTAGGTCGTCACTCCATCTAGTGGGGGGAAGCCTACACTTTGTCTACCGGTACGAGACTGCCACTCGAGAACATTTCTTCCCAATCGGTTATAGGTTCTTCGAGCTATATGGCCGGCCCATTGCCAGTTCAGCTTACTAATCCGTTGGGCTATGTCGATCACTCTGGTTTCACTACGGATATCCTAATTTCTGAGTATATCACGCAGTGAAACTCCGAGCATAGCCCTCTACATAGCTCGCTGAGCGACCTTGAGCGTCCTCATACGGCCAGCGTTGAAGGACCACGTCTCAGATCCGTAAGTCATCACTGGCAACACTCACTGGTTGTACACTTTAGTTTTCAGAGATTGAGGTATACCTGATGAGAAGATGTGTCGTAATTTCTCGAACGCTGCCCAGCCGAGTAGAATCCGTCGATTGACCTCTCGGTCGAAGTTGGACTTACCTAGTCGGACTATTTGTCCCAGGTAAACGTACTCGTCAACAACTTCGAGCATAGTGCTCCCAACAATTACCGGCATAGGTGTGACATGGACATTAAACATGATCTTTGTTTTGTCCATGTTCATCTTAAGACCTATCCGTTGGGAGACACCATTGAGATCATAGTGCTAAGGTCCTCCAGCGATTCTGCCATAAGGACTATATCGTCGGCAAATCGAAGGTGAGTGATGTACTCGCCATTGATGTTAATACCGTATCCTTTCCAGTCCAGTAGCTTGAAAACGTCTTCCAACGCAGCGGTGAAGAGTTTTGGGGATATAACATCACCCTGTCTTACACTTCTCTGCATTTGGAAAGGTTTCGTACTCTGGTTCTGTACTCGGATAGCCATCGTAGCCCTACTGTACAAACACTTCAGCACTTCAATATACCGACAGTCAACTAGGCACCGCTGAAGAGACTGTAGCACCGCCCAAATTTCGACGGAATCAAAGGCTTTCTCATAGTCCACATACGCCAGGAAAAGTGGCAGATTGTACTCTTCGGACTTCTGTACAATTTGCCGAAGGGTATGTATGTGGTCTATGGTACTGAAGCCTTTTTGGAAACCGGCTTGTTCGGGAGGCTGGAAGTCGTCGAGTCTGCGTGCGAGACGATTCGTAATGACTCTCGAAAACAGCACGTAGATGCGGCTCAGAAGGGAAATCGGTCTGTAGTTCTTCAAGAGAGCATTGTCGCCTTTCTTAAAGAACAAGACCACCGCGCTTCTGCTCCACGCCTCCGGAGTAATGCCACCATGGAGGACGGAATTGAAGAGCTTCTGAAGGACTTCAAGTACCGGTGTTCCACCCGCTTTCAGAATCTCCGCTGTAATTCCATCCTCGCCCGGGGCCTTGCCGTTTTTAAGGTGGTGGAGAGCCATTCTAATCTCGCTCAGACTGACGTCCGGGATATCATCGGAATAGTGTCGGATAAGACTTGCTCTTGGATCGTTACTCACACTTGCGTGTGGTTCCAACGATGATGTGTACAGCTGCCCATAGAACCTCTCAATCTCACTCAGAATCTCAGGTGTCCCGGAAACGATGTTGCCACACTCAGTCTTCAGCCTTGACAGTTGGCTCCTTCTGGCAGACAGATCTCTGGCAAAGACTTTGGAGCCCTGGTTCCGCTCGATCGCTTCTTTAATACGAGCAGTATTAAAGTCTCGCCGCATGCATTTGGAGATCTGTCTGTTCAGCTGCCTGTATGCTGTCAAATCTGTTGACGATTGCAGCCTCATCTCCCGTCTAACAGCCATGAGATTAAGAGTGTGATCGGAGAGTTTTTGTGTTCTTCTGCGGTGGGTCTTGCAGAACTTAGCTCCGACCGCATGGACAGTTTCCACGAGCTTGTCATTCACATCGTCCACTGCATTGCAATCTTCTAGGCACTGAAAGCGGTTTTGTAACTCGAGCTGAAAGGTTTCGGGATTCTGGATTAGAGGACGAGGGGGATGGAGCGTTGACTTCATTAGACGAGACCTCTCCAACTTAACTTTTGGGTTCAGTGTGCCTCTAACCATTCGGTGATCGCTGCCGGTTTTCACCCTTGCGATCACTGAGACATCACTGAACAGTTGGCGTCTGGTCGTCATAATGAAGTCAATCTCATTTTTTGTCGAACCGTCGGGGCTCGACCAGGTCCACTTCCTGTGGGGCCGCTTCTGGAAGAAAGAGTTCATCATAAAGAGTCCCTCTTTCTCCATAAAGTCGGCCAGCTGCTGGCTCCTTCGGTTCCGTTGCCCTACTCCAAATTTCTCCACCTTCAGCTCACCGCTTTCTCACGTGCCCAGTTTTGCGTTAAAGTCTCACATCAACACCGTGTAGTGGGTTTTGGAGGAAAGCATGGCTCTGGAAATATCCTCATACATTTCCTCCACCTCCTCATCGGGATGTTCCGAGGTTGGTGCGTAAACCTGTATGACCTTCAGCGAATACCGTTTGGTGATTCTGAGTATCAGCTACGCGACCCTCGTCGACACACTCCCAATCTTCCTCCCTCCCGGTTGTAGAACAAGTTGCCGGACTCGAGGATTGCCGTATCCTCCCCCTCTCTTCGGACCTCGGATAATCCAATAATATGCCAGCGCAACTTGTCTACCTCTTCTTCCATCTCCAGTATCTTCTCGTCGATCATCCGTGTTGGTTATTAAATTTTCATTCTCCCGATTAAGTGCTCTGTTCCAAGCCTTGTTTAAAGTTTTCTTTTCAATCAAATCTTACGCATCTACAACCATGTAACAATACTCCTTTAAATTAATTCCTTTATAAAATGATAAAACGACTTCTACATTATCTTCATCATCAGATAACAACCTTCGTAAAGGTTGTTTTCTATAAAGTCGTTTTATGTTTCAATAATACTTTGATTCATTGGTTGCAGCAAGGATGTCACATTAGGAGGCAAAAATTTTACTTTAAAATTTCCATTTTCTCTTTCCAACAGTTCAGCCGAAGGATGGGTTGGCGCATTATCCAGTAAAAGTAATACATTTCCTTGTTTGCCAATTTCGTTTTGTCTTTTTTTTACTTCAGGGATAAAAGTGTTGTCATACCAATCAATGAATATTTCAGAGTTCATCCATGTGCTTTTTTGATTTTTATAAATTAAGAGCACCCTGATATTTTTAAAACATTTAGGTTTTTTTGATTTTCCAATGAGGAGCAAAGGTATTTTATGGGTCCCGGTAGCGTTAGCGCAAACTAATATTGCTATTCGTTCTTTGCTAGTTTTATATCCTGGAGCTGAATTCTCTCGCCTAGAAGCTAAAGATTTTGAAGGTAATGATTTCCAGTTTAATCCGGTTTCATCAGCATTATAAACGAAATCCAATTCATAGTTATTTTCATCAAATTTCTTCTTAAAATCATCTTTAAAGGAGTTTGCTGCGTCTACATTAGCTGACATTTTTTCACCTTGTATTTCTAATTCACGAATTTCATGACGAGTTTTAAATCTATATAACCATCCGTTACTTGCGACAAACGAGCCGTCGCCACCTAATTTTTTATTTAACTGTAATGCTTTTTCACAGAGCAAAGGGCCAGATATCGGTTGCCCAGTTGATCGTTTTTGTAAAAACCAACAATACAAAGCGTCTTCTAAAAGTTCTTTTTTCGGTTTCTTCATCATTTTCCGATGTTTACTCCCGTCTTCACTATCTAATTTGCAAGTGTACAACAAAATTGAATCGGCATTTTTCTTAATATCACTTATTGTGGATGTACCTATACCATACTTATCAGCTAACTTACCACCAGTTTCTCCTTTTTTTTAATGAATCAATAAAATTTATTTTGTCTTTAAGCGATAACACCACTCTCTTACGCTTTGACATTTTTAAATATTTAGACTAGACACGCACGTCAGAGCGGAGTAACAATTGCTAGCTAACTAAAACAATAACAAAAGTTTTGTTATTGTTTTAGTTATTGTTGTTACGAAACGCGATCCCGCAGGGCGCGGTCGGGGTAATGCCAGTACCGACACGTTCATGCTTGTATAAATTCGATATGTAGTACATATGTTAAACACTTTGTAACTTGGCTCAATATGACTTAATTATTTAATTGGTCGCGGTTGATAGTCCGGATAATCGCGAATCCGTATAACTTAGGGCCGGATAATCGAGTTTATTCTGTACATTTATATTATATAGCACAGAGCACTAATTAGGCACAGACCAATGGCCGACTCATTGAATGAAATTAAAAAGGTGGCCATGCCATGTAATGTCTAGGCTGTAAACTGAAAAGCTACTACGACATAATATATAAAGATATTTTCAACTCCTAATATAAACAAAATAGCATTTCCTTTCCAAATTCCGTTACATTGGGTAGATTTTTACTGACGCCATTGATTATATATAACAGTGTGAGTCGTTTGTATAACAGAACGCGAACGTAGAGAAAAAGAAAGAAAATAATATTCTCCGAATAAATGTAACGCAAATAGCATTACTGAGAGTAGTTCGAGTAAACTTTGTTACGTAAGCATCAAGATACTATGTGATATCAGCTTGAGTTACGTCATTACTTTGAGGAGTGGTTTTTTATTTACGTTTAACTACTCGATCATTTTGAGGAGTGTAATTACTTTAATATTAACATTAATAATATATATATAATATTTATATAAAAGAATATTTGTAATTTCCGACGTTTCGGTAGCTCATGGTCACGAGAGGACTGTGGAGTTTTCTCCGGCCTGATAAGAAACTACGGAAACAACTCCACATGTATCATCATTTTTATCCTTTGTCAAAGTTAATATTACATAGTATAGTATATACACAATGAAAAACAATACCCATCGATATATGAAGCAAGTTCTATGATTTACTCAAATAATGATGATAAAAAATTTGTAAATTATCAGTGTTTAGCCAACGATGATGATGA